TTTAAAGTATATTTAAAATAAGATCAGAATCTAGATGGTAATTTTGGTTCGAAACTGGAAGTAAAGTTTTCAAAAAGGCATAAATATTCGATTTTTCAAAACTTTAAAAAAATATAACTTCTTTTTTTAAAAAATCATACAGATTTTTAACAAAAATCGTACAGATTTTTAACAAAAATCGTACAGATTTTTAACAAAAATCATACAGATTTTAGACAAAAAATATTTCAAATATTCCAAACATTTAAAACTGGATGTTTGAAATAGGATTTGAAGGGTTCTGTAACTTTGAAAATTTCTAATGTAAGAAATTGAAAATTAATATCTGGATAAATGTTTTGTATAGTCATCGTCGATATACAAAACGGTACTATATCAATTTATCTTCGATGAATAAACATCGAATGTATGTTGTAATATACTCAAGAGAATTATTAATTTGATTGTAATTCTTGTTTCAAAATTTCTTTTTATTGAATTTTTTGTTATCTTTTCTTTTTTGATATAATTTTCTCAAGGATGCAGCAACGATTCGGACATATTACACGCAATGGTTTGAAATTTACAATATTAAACATTTTTTCGTTAGGATACAATATGGTAACTCTCTAGAACTGAATTAGCGAAAATTTATACTGATTTACAGCGAATTAGCGAAGTGCTTATTTATTATCTATATTACTACTCGGATAAGTATGTTATTAATCGAAATTTTGAAGATTTTTATTAGTTGTATAGATCTATTGGCTAGAAATTTAAGCTTTGATACTTCGAACCTAAATTGATAAGTTTTATTTAGAATTTAGCAGTTTTCGACTTTTTTCCAACTATTTTCAAAAAATGCGACTTTTTCGACTTATTTTAAAAAATTGCGACTATTTCGAGTTTTTCGACTTTTCTTTAAAATTTTCCGACAAAATACCATATTTTTGGTATAAAATGCAAATTATTTCGACTTTGATAATGTAAAAAGTAATTAGACAAATATCTTTCAAACATTATTTTTGAATGATTTTTCTAATGAAATTTTTCAAATATACAATTAAAAAAATTTTCAATAATTCGAATTTTGTAAAATTTAACTAAAAATATTTAATTTTTCCAAGTACAGGCCTCGGATATTATGACTTTTACGACTTTCTTCGACTATTTTCAAAAAATACGACTTTTTTCGACTTATTTTCAAAAATTGCGACATTTTCGACTTTTTTCCAAATGCAACAAAATACCACATTTTTAGTCAAACATGTTATTTCGGTTTTTATAATGTGAATAATAACTAGACAAATTTTTTAAAATTATATTTTTGAATACTTTTTTACAATAATAAAATTTTTTAAAAATATACGTATAATTAATATATTTTATAATAATTGAAATTTTGTAAAATTTAATTGAAAACAGTTTATTTTTCTCTAAGTATTTTATAAAAATTTTTGAAAATCAACGTTTGAAGAATTTTAATTGCATTAAAATAATTAAATTCACAAAAAATTTTAATGAAAAATCTTCAATTGTAAATTTTAAAATGAAAATTAATAAAAATTTTCTTCTAAAAATTTTTTAAAAATATTTTAGAAAAAAAAAAATCGTCGAATTGTTTCATTCTGAATTTTTCAAATTTTAAATATTTCAATATTTTCACTCATATATTTCGAAAAATTCAAATATAGACAAAAAATAATAACATTAAAATTTTTTAGAATTAATTTTATCATTTCTGAGAACACAATTTTATTATGTTCCAAATTTTTAATTAAAATTCTTCAAAATTTATTAGTTTTCTAAAAATTACAGAAATTCTTTTAAGAAATTCAATTATTTTCGAAAAAATTACAGGATAATTTTTAAAAAACTAATTTTTAGAAATGTTTTTACATATTTTTTTAACAATCAGTTATCTATGAACAAAGTAAATTAAAGTTCTTAAAAATTTAATTTTTTAGACCTTAATAATATTTTGAAAAAAACATGTTCTTATTTTATAATTAAAATTCTTTAAAAATTTGATTATTTTTTATATTTTTCAAAATTTTTTTTATTTTTATAAGTATTTATCAAATTTCAATTATTTGTAATAGATTTTATCAAATTTTTATTATTTTTAATAGATTATATCAAATTTCAATTATTATTATTATTAGATTTTATCAAATTTCAATTATTTGGAAATTTTTTAATTGTTCTAATTAAAACACTTATCTTTCAAAAATTATTTTTAAATACTTTTAAAAAAATTAATTTTAAGAATTTCTTTATTACAATTTTTTGAAAATATTATAGGGGAGACCGGGGCGTAATGGCTAAGGGGCGTAATGAATAATTGTAATTTGTTTAAAAACCGTAAATTGTAATAATTTCGCACAATAGACAAGTTATTGTACTTGGTATACTGCAAGTTTGTCGGAAGTTTCATTAATATTTATTCATTATTGTAAGAAATATAGTAGAAAAACTATTTTTGACATACGAAAGTAACTTTTCAAAATTTTCGTTTTTCGTTCTATTTTTTTCAAAAATAGCTTTTAAAAAAAAACTGAAATCAGGTTTCGATCTTGACACGTTTGTTTTTAAGGGACAATTCGAGATTTTTGATTCACACTTCCGGTATTGTTAAAAAAAAGCCAAATATTTGCCGAGTACCCCCGGGGCGTAATGGCTAGTTTTTCCCGGGGCGTGTTGGCTAATGCAATACGCTATGTATAAAAAGCAACCTACCATATCGGCGAAGTGTAGGTTTGTTTTCGCGATTGCTTGTCACTTAGTTTAAGTATGTTTAGGTATTTTTAACAAAATTTTAAAGCTTTGGTCTAAAATTTACAAATAGTAGATTTCAAGCTACGATTTTAATGAGAAATTACAAAAAAAATTGAGAGAGTGCCAATATCACAGAATATTATTGAAAAAGCGATAGTTGAAGTATTGCTGAATAAAAATAGCATTCACGGAATACCCAGGAACCTTAATTTACAATATGCAATAAGATTGGAAACTGTAGATAATAATTAGCAATCATTATTCATTACGCCCCGGGAGTTATCCATTACGCCCCGGCTCGGGCCGTATTTTGGAGCTCTGCATTGCTCCAGAAAAACTGTTGTAGAATAAAAAGTAAGAGTCATATCGGGACGTTTGTAGTCTTAAAAGAAAGCTGAGATACCAGAGTAACTTTTCTGGAAGATAAACATTCAATTAGAACAAAAATGTCCGAGTAAAACAACAAAGAGTGAAAAGTTAGCCATTACGCCCCGGTCTCCCCTACCTTAATAACTTTTTGAAATAAACAATTATTATAAAAAATTGAATTTTTGTTTTTAAATAATTGATTTAGAGATGTTTTGTTAAAAATTGTATAAAATAAATTAATTTTGGAAGGACTATAGTTTTAGAAATTATTCAGAAGGTTTAAATTGAAATTTAAAAAATTTTTATTTTATGTAGAAAAACAAATAAGAAGTATTTAAATATTTATTTAGCAAAATTATTCAAATTTTTAATAATTGAATTTAGAAATCGAAACGTCAGGGAAGTGCAAAATAAAATTTTTGTGACAACACTGAATTAAATAAAACGACTTTTTCGACTTTTTTTTTATTTTTAATCGACTAAATCTTTTTTTCCGCCCTAAAGTCGATCCGAGGCCTGAAAATACTAAAAATGGCCAAACACTGATATATATGAACTGAAAATAAAATAAAAATTTTAGTTTCACTCACCCCAAGTTACTTACTTTAAATAAGATCTGTTATCTTCCTTTTGAAGTCAAAGTAGGGTCTAAATAAAAGTTGTAGTCAAGTAGGGTCAAAGTAGGTTACTATCTACTTTATACTGTTAAAACATAAATAAAACCTACGAATTCAGGTTAAAAGTAGAGCTTAAATTTTAACTCAGGATAAATTGAAGTCAGTTAAATTTTTAAATTTTTTAACTTTTTCAACGGTTATCATTGAGATAATTTTTATTCAATTGAGATACATGACACTATTACTGTAATTTCTATTTCTATTAACTATTTACATTTCTATAAAGTACATATTTTACTAATAAAGTTGTTATATTATAAGTTACCATTTTGTAAAATTATATTCTGAACTGATCTGAACTATTTGTTTTACAAGCAAACTTTTCAAATTCGGGTCTTCTTTTATACTTCTTCCTTTTATAATTCGGTCATGGGATAATCTTTTTTAATCACAAAATATCTAAATTTCAATATATTGTCCTTTTAAGTGCCTCATATAGGTCTGCTTTTGCTCTGGTACCTGCTTTGTTGTATGTTTGCAATGCATGTCAATTGATACGTTTATAAAATATTCAAGTGACCAAAGATTATCGATAATTGAAAAATATAATTAACGGTATTATTGTCGCACTCCTAAGAAAGGTACCTAAGAAGAAAACTAATTATACATTTTATATATTCATTATGATTAAAAGTTCTAATGATGTAACTTCGAAAACAGTTTTTATCTTGAATGTCATTACATTCAATAATTTTTAATAGTAATTCAGTACTTTTTTGTAATTTTACTTTAAAATTATAACAATCCTTTGGTTTCTTAGGAGTGTCACAAAAAATTAAGTTGCTGACTACAATTTCGATTTCATTATTTGTAACAAGTATTTTATAGAATATTTTTAGAGTATGTAACAATATATTCATTAATAGAATGAGATCATCTTTGGTCAAATGAAATCTAAGTGTTCATCTTAAATTTAGAGCCAGTTTCACCAACTTTCGATTAAAAGTTAATCAATTAAAGACAGTTTAAAGGCTGATTGGTTAATTGAGGATTTAATCATTGATTAACTTTTAATCGGTGTTGGTGAAATCGGCCCTAGTTTTAACTTTTGCACAATTAATTTTGTTGAAATGATTTAATATACAAGAAATTAAATTTAAGTTGAACGTTTAGTTAGAGTAATGATTAATGTATTTGGATATAAAAATATTGGAATTCTAACGTTTGATCCTATTTTTGGGGTGAAAATGATCGCAGAAGGTCGCGAGTGTGTCAACTGTGGTGCCACGTCGACACCCTTGTGGCGAAGGGACGGGACCGGTCATTACCTCTGCAATGCCTGTGGTCTTTACTACAAGATGAATGGACAAAATCGACCTCTCATCAAGCCCAAACGACGCCTTGTAAGTACTTATAAACTATATAATATACGCTTCTTCTTTTTCGATAAATCATCCCACTGATTAGTTCCATAAAGTAGTCGATGATCCGAACTATTTGCTTTCTTACAAGTCACCTCAACTATATCGATTTCCTAATGATTCTGACCTATTAGAATTTTTCGAAAAATAAATCTCACCAATAATGAATCTCAATAATATGTTTTCGGTTATATTTGATTAATTATTTTATTTGGATCAAACGACTGCACTTTTAAACACTAGTTGGCCCAGCATTGCGTGTGTTTTTTTTTTATTAAATATCAACGTTTAATTTCTTTCATTTGATATAATCAATGATGGGAAAATTCCTCGTGAGAATCGATTGTGGAGGATCGTGCGAATCTGATTTATTTTTGAGCTACTATTGAAATGGCTTTGCCGGAAGCATCGCGTGGAAACAAGACACTGACTCGTCTGGACTTTTTTTCTTTATCTTCGCATTCTACTGCCTTGACTACACAGAAATCGCCCACACGAAACAGTCTAGCGATTGAATGATGGCGTAACAGCTTAATCCACTTCCTACATTCTCATTTCGAGTTTATCACTTTTAATTCATATTCCAAACAAATCTTCCCCTAATCAAAGGCATCCTTTAAAAAAGACAACTTGATATTTATAAAACAGTGTTTGAACAGTGTTTAGTGTTTTAATAAAAGTTTTATTTATTTATATATATACATCTTTACGACGCATCCATTTATTGAGGTATTTTTTACATCGCATGCAGTATGGGGCGAGTTCCTTGGATTGCGAATCCTTTGCGTGTTTCGGGTCCGGAATATAACCCCCAGTTTTGTAAACTTTTTTGTGCTAAGACCGCCACCCCTTTTCTTCTGTTTTTTTTGTTTGCACTCGGAACTCTTTCCTCTTTTGAATTTACTCTTTTTGTTGGAAGTCACGCTCCTTAAAAACACGAAGCACCTCGATTTTTTAATATCGATCAATTTTCCATTCTCTGAATCTTAATTAGTGCAAATTCAGTCATTTTCCATTAATTACATATCAAAAAGGGATTAAAATGAGAAATGCTGTATGTGTCTCACAATCAGTCCTACAATGTCTCAAAATAAGACATTGTAGACAATTTTGCTTGCAAAATTAAGATATGTGATCTGTTTTGTAAAATTTTTCAAATCGGCTCAATCTACTATGTTTAAAGTTATCTTGAACGATTTTACACTTAGTTCTGAAAGATTTAAACATTTGTTTTTAGTCCATTGGCAGTCGACGAGATTTTTACTGTTTGGGCCAAAAGTGTGTTAAAAAAATTTTTAACGGATTTTTATAAAACTTTCTATCCGAAGGTTTTAGCGGTAGTTGATTATGAATCTGACATGTTATTTGGAGGTTTTCACAGTCGCTGAGTAAATTTTACTAATTTTTTAGTTTTTACAAATATATTTTTTGAATGTAGGAAAATTTACTCCGAAAGTATAGTAAAAGTTACGAGAAATGCTTAACCAGAAATGTTTTACTATAAAAGTATTAAAAGTTACTTTATATTTTTCTCCGTTTTTCTAAGAATTCTCAAATTGAGACCATTATAGCATCGCAACAATTTGGATATGCTTTTTTGTCTCAAAAAAAGATTTTGAATAATTGAAATTTTGTAAAATTTAATTGAAAATAATTAATTTTTTTCGTTAGTATTTTGTTAGAATTTTTGAAAACTAACTTTTGAGGAATTAGTTAAAAATAATTTTAATTTTAATTTTTTAATTAGTTAAAAATAACTGATTCAGAAACAAAAAGTCAGTGACTAATTCAAATAGTAATATTTCTACTGACAATTAGTTAAAAACAACTGATTATCAGTTAAAAATAACTAATTATTAGTTAAAAATAGTTGATGATGTTTCAATAAATTTTTTTTAAGTGATTCAATTAGTCAAGTTTAACTAATTTTTCAGTTATTTTTGACTGAAAATCTGTTATTTTTAACTGATTCAAATTAAGTTACAGACAAAAATTAATAACATTAAAATTTTTTAGAATTATTTTTATCATTTTAGAGAACACAATTTTATTATGTTCCAAATTTTTTTAGTTTTCTATAAATTACAGAAATTCTTTTAAGAAATTCAATTATTTTTAAAAATTTACAGTACAATCTTTAAAAAACTAATTCTTAGAAATGTTTTTACATATTTTTTTAACAATCAATTATCTACGAACAAAGTAAATTAAAGTGCTCAAAAATTTAATTTTTTAGACGTAAGTAATAAAATTTTGGAAAAAACATGTTCATATTATTATTTCATATTATCAGTTATTTTTAACTGATTCAGAAGCAAACTGATTTAAATTAAGTTCTAATTTTTAAAAATTTAATATTTTCAGTATTTTCAATTACATATTACCGAAAATTCAAAAACAAACAAAAAATAATAACATTTTAAAATTATTTTTAACAATTTGGAAAAAAAATCATGTTCAAAATTTTTAATTAAAATTCATCAAAAAATTAACTAGTATATTTAAATTATACACAAAAATTCTTTTTAAAAAATCCGATTATTTTCAAAAAATTACATTAAAACATTTTTAAAAACTAATTCTTAGAATTGTTTTATCATAATTTTTTAAGTTTCAATTATTTTTGAACAAAGTAAATAAATATTTATAAAAACTTACTGTTTTAGGATTTATTAAAATTTTAGAGAAATTATAGTTCTATTTGTAATTAAAATTCTTCAAAAATTTGATTATTTTTATATACATTTTTCAAAAATTCTATTATTTTTAAAAGATTTCAAGAAATTTTAATTGTTTGGAAATTTTTCAATTGTATTATTGTATTTATAATTAAAAACGTACTGTCTTTTAAAAAATTATTTTAAAATATATTTTTAAAAAATTAATTGTAAAAATTATTTTAAAATATTTTAAAAAAATTAATTGTAAAAATGATTTTATTATAATTTTTGGAAAATAGTATGCCTTAATAATTTATGAAAAAAACATGGAGCAGTTACAATTTATTTTTAAAAATTGAGTTTTTGTATTTAAAAATAATTGCGGATTCTCGAAGAATTTTCGGAAAATTATTTAAAATAATCAATTTTGAGATAATGAAGTTTAGTTGAAAATTGTAATAAATAATAATTGAATTCAGGAAGAAAATTATATTATACAAATTATGTAAATTATAGAAATTATTAAAATTCATAAATTTCAGAAATTTTACTCATTTTCATTTTTTTGTAAACTCTAATATTTTCCTGTAAAAAGAATGAATGTTTAATAATCTGTTTATTAAATTTTGAAGTAAAATGTCTCTTTTCATGTAGAATCATAATTTTTCCAAGGATATCAAATTCAGACAAAATTCGCAACATTTTGATTCTTTTTTTGTCTGAATTTGATATCCTTGGAAAAATTATGATTACATTGAGGAAAGAGTTTAGTTTTCACAACAAAACGTTTGGTTGGTATTTAAGTACCAAAAATTTTTTTTTGTTTTGTCAATAAAATTCTGGTTGTTTGAAGCAAAAACAGGAATCAAAATTTTTGTAATGCAACGTTTTAATGTTATAATGGTCTCAATTTGAGAATCTTAGTTATAGATTTTCAAGTATGAAACATGAAATTTTTCTACAATAAGAAAATATAGGAAAACTTCTAGAAAAACTTGAATATAAAATTTTGTTATTAATATTAATAATGTAGTGTTGGGAAAAAACCTCCGGACTACGCGTATACTGAATAAAGTTGATATAAAGTATGTGTATCACTAATATTGAAACGTTGTGTGCGCTTGACATTTATGGACATTAAACAAAAATGATGAGGGCGGGCGTAAAGCTTGAGCAAACCATAATTTTCGTAGTACCCTCCCCTCTAGGTGGTGTCATTATTACTTACGAATTCTTTTTTCATTTACCAGGAATAAGATTAAAAATAAATGCATTTTTCGTTCTCCGCTATAGTCCATTACAGTTAATTAGATTAAGCATAACCTGTTTATTTTCAGTTAATAATTTAATATTATGAAAATATTACGTTGAAAATGAAAATATTACGTAGAAAATGAAAATATTACGTAGAAAATAATCACGAAGGTTTAAAAGTTGACAAATTCGAAGGTATTCGAATGGTTACAAAAATTTTACATATATTTAGGGCCAGAAGTCTTTTGGTTTTAATGCTAAGCACAATCGGCAACATTCCTCGGACAAAAATGTGGCGCCGAGTGGGTTAAAAAAATCGTTAAAATTCGGACGGCATTCTAGGTGAGTGCGAGGCTATGTATCAGACACTTTTTGAACGTTGAGTGTGCGCGCAACAAAAGTATATACTACGCTATAAGGGCATATGCCTTTTGGACAATATGTTGCACTTTTATAAGTAGAGGTTCGCCATGGGAGCTAAAGTTTTCGTTCACAGATGTGTCGCTAACTAAAAAAAAAAGAAAAAAAAATAGAGCGAGAACGATAAAGAAGAGGGAGAGTACTGATACCGATCTAGGAAAACAAAGCGACCACCAGGTATACACGTGTGCTAGACTACTGTTGTAATAATGTTGGGCATATATTGTATGTTATACATGGAAGGGCGTGCGCCTGCGTGTACGTGTTTCACGCACAACTCCCGCCTCTAAACTTTGTCCACACACCAGTGCACATTGTGCTCACTCCACATGTGAAAGTCTCGCTCTGATGGGGAAGATAGCAAGGGTTGAAACCCATCGCCATCTTTGATTTCCGCCGCTGATAACTGTGGCGAACAGCTGGGAAATTTTCTTTTTTCCTCCCTCTGCGAACATATTTGAAACCTACTATTTCTGTCATATTTTTTTTTTCCCTCTTGATAGCGTGCAACATATTCCCATTAGGCCATTGCGTGCAGTGGTATAAAGTCATTGAATGCTAATTTTATTTTATTTTGTCAAAATGAAAGTCATCAAAAATGTTCATTTTGTGCGCCCGATAGAAAAAATAGTTTGTTCATAACTAAAG